CTACTGTCAACATTAGAATCAAGTAATTACGTGCAAGTTGTATGAAAATCGTTACTTAACTCACTCACCTCGCTTGGAATAGTTATAATCTTATAGGAGTGTTAATAATTTAATTATCGAACTATTAAAAAGTATGAGGCAACATGTTGCTAGAAATTATCACGACAGAATGTTATAGAAAACTGTTTCTAAGAAGATCGAGACTGGATGCTGCCATGGCGGTATTATTGGTGTATTTAACGCAATGGTCCAAAAAGAATGTGATCAAGTTGGAAGAACATCAACAAATAATCGAATCGAACCCAAATAAAATCTACAATAGATTTCAAGTTGTGTGTGGCACTCTTCTTGAACGATATTTGTCCCCACTATCGGTTTTGCACACGAAAAAGTAAAATGCCTCTAGGATACAATGAAACTAGATTTGTTGTATGCGTCGTGCACAAAAGAAAACAACCCTAAACACTAGGGAGAGAAAGAAACCACCATTCAATATGCTTGTATTTTTTAGTTCCAGAGTAACAAATTATGAACAAACATTTAAAGAACCTTGAAGCTATATATAGGTATGTGCTTGACTCTTACTAATTGTCACAACCTTTCAAACATAACTGAACTAGGACACAAAAGGGGGCCAAAAAGTGGTTAAAGTCACGAACATGCACGTTTGTCATAGCAACCGATCGACCGCAGGCTGTTCCATTGCTCCTGGCTGGTCCGGGTAGACCGCTTTCATCCTTCCTCTATCCGTCCCTTTAAATCCTTGTCCTATCCATGATTTGAGACTCAAGTAGACTCTTCAATTTGTCCCTCAATGTCAAAATGACATTTTTTGAAAACCTCTCCAACAATCCTACACCATTTTCAATAAAAAAAAAGGGGGTTTTTAAAAAATTCTCGCGTAATGGCTTCACAAAATTTGCGCATAAACAAAGGTGTCTTTTAGATTTAGACCTCCACTTAGTGAAAATGTCTCAAATGTTAACCAAGATAGCATGGTACATAATTTTTTTAACCAATGACCCTAGGCACACATTTTCGTATCCTGGTGTACTTACAATAGATACGTGAATGAGTCATGCATCCTTTATACTAGATTTTCATGAAATTTTTAAATGGCACCATCCCTAATTCACATAGGTCAACTTATCAAGAATCCTCGCGTAATTAAAGTATTTCATAGTTATGTTTATATAATCGATTAAAAAGCTTAGTAACTTAACCTACTATTTTGCATTACATGTACCAAGCACATTACATTAGGAACAAATTCGTAGTGTTTGCAATCACCATATAATGTATTTTTCTCATTGAACCCAAACTCTTGATGTTTCAAGCGTTGGGTCAAGTTTCCATTATTAGTGAAAAAAAAAAAAACAAATTAGCTTCCATCCACATTTTCCCTTGGATGTTTATTCTCTATCAATTCCTCGCAAGGCAATTTGTCAAAGGTTTATCTTTTTTGGCTTATCAATGTTACACGTGCAACTTCACTTGAGTCCATTTTTCTTCGATTTAGCTCGACCGTTTCCTCCTCGTATCTTGCGTTATGCCCCTTTAAATCACCGCACTTCGTACTTTTCCATCCAAACCTCATCCCAAAACCATTATTCATCTTATAAATTAGCAAAAGAATTGTAAAAATCAACACAATCTGTAGATAACCCATCACAAAAACATAGGATTAAGAATCTGGACAAGTATCACACCTCTCACCCACGACCGTGCAGTTGCACTTTTTGAGCCCCGATAGCGTCCACCATTGTCAACCCTCATTCCACGCCCGAGTGCTGCCAATATTTCATGTTGTTGGGCCAAACCCGTTTCAATTTGTTGTGCCAACAAATCAATTTGTTGGTGAACTTGCACATCTCCTCCATCCAAACGTTGTCATCCATGGTTTGATTGTGAGCATCTTGTAGAACTTTCTAGCATACCAACAAATTTTCTGAAGAAATTAACAATTAACGAATTTTCTCTTGCAAGCTTTCAATATTCGCCTCCAAAGTTGTGTACCCACCAAATGGCAAGTACAATTTTTTTAGTTGATATGTAACATGTAAAAGTGATCATTTTGCTAAATTTCCCAAAAAGTGGCTATTTTTCTCCCCAAAAAAGAGGCTTGACATACAAGAGCGGTTAGGATTTAATGACGAGATTATATGGCACAACAATATGAAGTAGCAATTACAACACTAGAAGAACACAAGAACAGTTGGTAGAGAAATTGAAAATTAATTAATATGGAGAAAAATACAATAATATTATGTTTATAATATTGTCTAACTCTTTAAAATTAGTATAAAGTCATTTGAAAGCTAAGAATTATGTGGAATATACATAGGATCCAAAAGAATATGTTATAGATACAAAGGTGATAAAAAATCACATAAAAAAAAAAAAGAAACAAATTTTCGTCGAATATATACGTCGCTCGAGCGGCGCTTGAGTGCTAGTTGAGCAGTAAGCAGCGGCAGCGCTCAGGCGCTACGTATATGGTGCTCAAGCGCCTTGATTTGGGTCCAATTTGATTCCAATCACTTTGTAGGCTCCTAGGCGTCAGGATTGGGAGCTTGCTATCCAAAAAACTTCTCATATCCCTTTAACATCTCTTCAATCAATCCACGAACATCCAATGAAAGTTGGGTCACAAAATAACAAATCTCCATCTTGATACAAATTCCATTGCAATGAACAAATTTCATTGCAATGAACAAATTTCAAAACTTTTCCACCTGAAGACAAATTTCACTGCAATGAATAAACCAATGGCTCTTCATTCCAAAAAGCTCTCTAACAAAATTCTCACCATCTTCCACAAAGTCCAACTAGGATGAATCCAAGCAATGCTCAACAGAATTTCCTTAGGTACCAAAATTTGCTAGAATTTTCACCATGAGCAACAAAATTATAAATAATTCAAAATCACCAAATAGGGCAGAAAAATGTCCTGAAATAGAATCATCACCAAAAAAATGCTTTTGTAGAAGGTTTTTCGCTAGACTCGACACCTTTAACCACACTTAAGGCCTCAACAACTCAATCAGCTTTCGCTTACCTATGTAGAGGCCTAATATTTCTTTTAGGTCCGTCTCTCAAAATTGAATATGATGGCACGCTGGTGGTGGTAGCAAAGTGAAATTATCAATAACTTTTGAACTCAACTGAGCTATATTCTTCATCATGGACCCCAAACCAAACTCCAATGATACTGTACCAAATTGAATATCCACCAAAGTTTCAAACCTCTACTGATTGATCTTCAAACATTCTGCACAACTTTGCAAGACATATAACTGGGATTTTTGCTTTCCCTCCAACACAATACACCTTTACAAGCCTACAGAGCTCCACCTTCACCGGTGAACTTGTACCATGTTGAATCAAGAGTACTCAAGGAGATAAAATTTCTTTTCAAATCTGAAACGTGTCACACATCAAGTATTCTAACCATTCCATCCAGCATCTTAAGTCTAACTCTTCCAATACCAGCTACCTTATATGGTACGTTGTTTCCCATAACCACGACACATTTCGAAACTTCTTCATATGTTGAAAACGAATCCCGATTGGGACACATATGAAAAGTGCAAATTGTATCAAGAATTCAATCCACGTCAAGTTTGGAGTCACCATCAGAAATAATCAAAAATTTTCCATTACTATAGTAGTTTTCTGCAATATCTACTTCGCCTAAAGTTTCTGTTTAATTTTCCCTTCTTATTTATAGTCAATTTTTCTCTATTTTTCAACTTAAAGCAGTCCTTCTTTATATGTCCATTCTTCTTGCAATAGTTAGAAATTTTATTATTGAAATTAGACTTCAAACTGTCCATTTCATAACCACCGTGAACAACAAGGCCTTTTTCTTGAGCCTCAAATTTAACAAGATACTTCATCTTCTCATTTGAAAACAAAACATCATATACTTCTTCAATGTTTAGAGTATTACGACTATATAATATCATGCTCTAAACGACATATATGAAGCAAACAACGAATACAGTAAAATTAAACACAAATCATCTTCATCATATTGAACCTCCAAGGTATTCAAATTAACAAAAAATTCTTTAAAGACAGTAAGGTGATTTTCTAAGGATGTACCTTTTTGTCATACGATAAGAATACAAATGTTGTTTCAAATACAATATGCTGGTTAGACTCTTCATCATGCATAATTGCTCCAACTTCAACCATAATGCAGTTGTAGTTTTCTCCTTCAAAACGTTCTTGAAGAATATGATTCGAAAGATGAAGATAAATCTATGATGGGATTTTTCGATCCTTATGTTGTTTCTCCACCATCGACCAATTTGAGGGCATCTTGTCGAATCCCAACAAAGCGCTGTCCAAATCCATCTAAGTGAGCATTGCTGGAATCTTCACTTGTCACAACGAAAATCTAGTGCTGAGATCTAAAAGCGGAATATCATATTTCATGGTTGTCATCATAAGAACAAAAAACATCGAACAAATCAAACATTAACCTTTGATACCACTTGTTAGGAATTAATGACGAGATTATATGACACAATATGAAACAACAATCACAACACTAGAAGATCACAAGAAAGAATGGAGAATTTATCAATATGGAGAAAAATACAATAATATTGTGTTTACAATATTGTGCAACTCTCTAAAACTCATACAAAGTCATATGAAAGTCAAGAATTTCGTGGAATATATATATGACCCAAAATAATATGTTTTAGATGGAAAGAGGATAAAAAATCGAGTCAACAATAAGTGGGTGGCACTGTGTGTATGCTGCTCAGACGTATCGTTTCGGGTCCAATTTGATTCCAAATACCTTGTATGGCACATAAGTGCCCCCAAACTTCTCAAACCCCTTTAACATCTCTTTCAATCAATCCATGAACATCCAACAAAATTTGGGTCACAAAATAGCAAGAACCTCTTAAAAGTACTATTGCTAGATTATAATTTATAAGAATAGCATTTCAAAAGTACAATAAGTAAAGTTATTGACAATTTTAGTATTTGTTTCCACCATAACGTCTCTCTCTTTTCTGAAATGAGATCAAGGCCTCTATGAAATCTTCTTCTTCAAAGTCTGGAAATTTTTTAACAGAAAAGAAGACTTCTGTGTAAGCCAACTGCCACAGGTAGAAATTGCTTATTCTTTGCTCACCACTTGTTCGTATAAGCAAATCCGGGTTAGGAAATTGGGCACAGTTTGTTTCCAATTCCTTCTCAAATAAGGTTTCATTGATATCTTCGACTTGAAGAAAGCCATCTTTAACTTTACTGGTTATGCTTCTACTGGCTTGCATTATGTCGTATCGTCCACTGTAGTTTATGGCTATCATAAGATGGAGTCCCATGTTACCTCTAGTTGAATCCTCTACTGTGGCCATCACTTCTTGCAGTGACTTGGGGAGCTTTGACTTATCTCCGATGAATGATATTCGCACATTGTATCTGTAAAAGTAAAGAATAATGCAAGTTTTTAATTTTAAGCACAATCCTTATAGGCAGGCAGAGTAAGGACATGAAGAAAGTAGAAAGTATTTATTCTTTGGTATTGTTCCCTATTGTGTAGATCACCTATTAAATAAACCGCTTATGTTTATTGTTGATTTTATCGTCAAGTCTTTTCTGGATTTCCCCGGACGTAAGAGTGCACTAAAAATATATTAACCGTCATCTTTCTTTAAATGTAATTTGCTTCCACGGGTTCCTCCTATTTTCTAATTTCGACAAAGGGTTACAATAATCGATTCTAAAGATACAATGAAACTCGTGCAAAGATTTTCGATAAATTCGTAGTTCTTAGAACAGTTAATAATACACACGTACATGCACGCACATAGATATTATGTGGCCCTTCTAACAAAATTTACGTTTTAGTCAGAAAAAAAAAAGGATTTAGAGATTACCCCATAAATTCCTGCAGATCTGTTTGTATTACATCTTCAAACAGGCACATCAGAGCGTCAACCTGCTCCTACTCCACAGCAATGTTCAGCATAATTAAATACTGAAGAAACAATCCAGAAATTATAGATAATATATCTTGCATGAAAATATTGTACTGGGTAGAACGACGGTTACACTTAAAAGTGATGATGACTTCAATACATTTTACGACTGTTACTTGGGATTCACTTACTTTAGGTCGAGCCCAGTTTTCAGTTGAAAACGCAAAGAAGGAAACAACTTTGATTCCCCAGTTGCAACAGAGAAAAACTATCTCCTTCATTACACGTGCACCATTCCGGTGACCGAGCTGACTTTTGAAACCTTTCTCATTTGACCATCTGCGGTTGCCATCCGAAATAATAGCAATGTGATTAGGCATAAGCTCTGGCTTGAGACCCTTCGGCAATGCCTCCTGGGTTTGCATTGCCTTTACGAGAGAAAGCACGTTCGTCCTCGCACCTCGGGCCATACTCTCACTACAACGTATTATCGAAGAGCAAGGAAAAGGAAATCGCAAGGCATGTTGCTTAGCAGGCGTAGCTTGGAGTGAGAGTGTAGTAGGATTGATTCCCCCGAAGACAAATGCTAGCTTGGCACAAGTACTGACTAAACATGCCATGTTAATTTGAAACTCCAAAACTGAGAGAAAACAGCAAATCACCTCTCTTGATTTCCCTTTGCCAGCCGTCTCAATTATATAACCAGTTCTTGATAGGTTTGCCTAACCTTCTTAATATGAAATTAATAATTGCAAATTAAATGTCTAAAACGGTGTCATTCAAAGCTAGAGTTTTTGTTGTGTGCCACCTCGGGGAGCAAAGAATTCACCTACTGCCCCATGTCCATTTTGGAAAATATATTACTATATGACTAATGGTAATTAATGTCGGAAAAAATGAGGTGAATTGCTGATTTTG